CAGCATCTGCTTCCAGTGAGGATCTCAGGAAGCTTACGATCATGGTGGAAGGCAAAAAGTAACTGAACATATCACATGGTCATAGACAGAGGAAGTATGAGGTGAAGGAGCCAGTTTCTTTTAATGAACCAGCTCTCATTTGAATTAACAGAGTATAAACTTTTTGATTACCAAGAGGATGATGCTAAGCCATTCATGAGGAATTTGGCCCCATAGCCAAAACACTTACCACCAGATTTTACACCCAACATTGAAGAGTACATTGCAGCATGAGGTTTGCAGAACATGGACATGCAAACCATATTACAGACTAACTAAGCTTAACAGACATGTACAAAACTTTTCAGTCAAAAGCAAGAGAATGTACACTTTTTTTTTTTTTTTTTTTTGAGACAGAGTCTCACTCTGTTGCCCAAGCTGGAGTGCGGTGGCGCGATCTTGGCTCACTGCAAGCTCTGCCTCCTGGGTTCACTCCATTCTCCTGCCTCAGCCTCCCAAGTAGCTGGGACTACAGGCGCCCACCACGATGCCCGGCTAATTTTGGTATTTTTAGTAGAGACGGGGTTTCACCATGTTAGCCAGGATGGTCTCGATCTCCTGACCTCATGATCCGCCTGCCTCGGTCTCCCAAAGTGCTGGGATTACAGGCATGAGCCACCACACCTGGCCCAAAATGTACAATATTCTTATTTGCATCTGGTGTATTCTGTTAGGAATCATACCAAGTCTTATGAAATTTAAAAATACCAGTGAACTGCAGGGGCTCATGAGACCAAGGTGGGAGGATTACTGGGCCAGAAGTTTGAGACCAGCATGGACAACTTAATGAGGCCCTGTTCCAACAAATAATCAAAATATTATCCAGACATGGTGGTCCCATAGTATGTCTGTAGTCCCAGCTACTCAGGAAACTGAGGTGGAAGAATCACTTGAGCCCAGGAAGCTGAGGCTGCAGTAAGCCAGCCATGCCACTGCACTCTAGCATGGGTGACAGAGCAAGATCCTGTCTCAAAACAATGACACTTCAATAGATTTAAAACTGTATATTTTATATAATGGGTTTTTACAACAATATTTTAAAGAAAAACTGAAAAAAATATAGAATTATAAATCTTTTCAAAAATTGCCTCAAATCACAAAAGTGTTTCTCTCACACAAAGGAAATATAAATTCATCATTAAACACACAGTGAAAAAAGATGATTTCCATGACTACTTAGACAAAACAACCATTTAAAATCAGCTAAGAAAGAATATAAACAAGATAAGCCATAACCAAAATTTGGGTCATATTTATAGATAAAACACACATATATAATCTGATTGTAATAGACATATGACTAATTTATTTTTTAAACCCCATATTGACTTAAAAGTGTACAAACAGAATTGCAAATTGTCTAAAATTATGTAAGTAAAACAAAACACCAATAATCTGATGTTAAGAAACCTACACTGAAAAACCACACTAATATGGAACTACAAAACAATAAGAGAAATGTTTATTCACGAAATCTTTTTTGCAACATTGATGTACCATTAAGAAAGAATTTGTCTAGATAACTGCAATATTTAACTGTGTACTCATGGAAGACAGGTATTTTGAATCAATGGCATGTGTCGTATGGCAGTAAAAGTTCAGAGAAAATGCAGTATAATCATAAATAGAAAATGCTAATGAGAAAATTTTAATAAATGAGCATTTAAAAGGAAGTGGAGATAATTCTGATATTTAAAATATATGCTATTCTTACATAAAATAAAACTTCTGTAATCTGATTTTAGAAGCAAAGAATACCCTTACACTGCTAAATAAAGAGAAAATAAGAATGTGTATGTATATATTTGTGTATGTAATATATATTTATATGTGTAAGTATGTGTGTGTGCGCACGCACAGAATATGGTTAGAGTCTCTAATATATAAAAGAAGTATTTGAGAATAAATTATGCTATTACTTAGATATAGGCTGAAGAAAGTGGGTGAAAATCCTATGATTTGTTTATACCGACAGCTCAAATTTGTAAGTAACTATTTTAGTAAATATGGAATGCCTACTAATTATCTAATTTACTTTAGGCACAACTTGTAAATTCTAGTATATTGCCCTAAATGTCTGAATCTAAAGTTACAGACAAGTTTAAAGTAGGAAATAAAAAACAAAAATGTATACAGAGAGTAACATCAGTAAGATGGAAAAATAAAAGGTGCCCTATTTTCTTATACCCCAACAGCAAAAACATTTATCAGCTATCTCTGACCAAAAAAAAAATGTGTTTATGAGAGAGCCAGGAATCATGTATCACACCTGTGATGACAGCTACATGGTATATTCAGGTTGAAGAATTGCTTCAGACCAGAATTTAAAGACCAGCCTCGGTTATAAAGCAAGAACCCATCTAAAAAATAAGTGCCTTTAAAAATAAACAAACAAACAAACAAAAACAAAAAAATAGAAAATAAATAAATACATAAAAAATAAGTGCCTTTAAGAGAGCTCCGAGATGCAGGGAGGGAGTTATGAAACTGCTAGAGCCAAAGATTGAGAAGTGTTCCTTTTCAGAAGGTGGGCCCTCATTCAGGAGGCAAACTACAAGACCCCTGTACTTGGCTACAGACCAGGAAATGGCCCTCCCAACTTAGTCCGACTAAGAATTCTGAACTTACTCTGTCATCACCTCAAATTTCTCCTAGTCACATTCTGCGAGAGGTCTTGTCTTTCCAGAGGCCTGGAGGAGAACACCCCTTTGTAGCCATGCAGGCAGGCCTGCAGACCTTGGCCTTTACTGTGGTCCCTGAAACAGTTCAGTGACTCAGTTCCAGCTCCCTGATCCACAGTTCATGGTCAGTTCTGCCTGTAGACATAGAAACCCACACAGTGGCTGGGCGTGGTGGCTCACGCCTATAATCCCAGCACTTTGGGAGGCAGAGACAGGTGGATCACCTAAGGTCAGGAGTTCGAGACCAGCCAGACCAACATGGTAAAACTCTGTCTCTACTAAAAATATAAAATTAGCCAGGCATGGTGGTAGGGGCCTGTAATCCCAGCTACTTGGGAGACTGAAGCACAAGAATCGCTTGAACCTGGGAGGCGGAGGTTGCAGTAAGCCGAGATCACGCCACTGCAGCCTGGGCAACAAAAGCGAAACTCCATCTCAAAAAAACAAACAAAAAACCCACACAGTGACCTGGAAAAATCCTCGCTGGTATTCAGTGAAAGCCATACTCATCCACATCCTGATATGAGGCCCACCATATGCAGACCCAACTGCAAAAACATGCCTTAATATCTGCCCTACAGAGCAACGTCCTGAACGACATTCAGCCTATCCAAAACTAAAATGGGAATTAAAACTACCCAAGCTTCTAGTAACAAGCTAATAACGGTAGACCCTAGTGCAGACCCAGCATCCTTGTGACTGAGCTACAACCCCTCTCCACTACAAAACCAGAGGGCATCCCGTCACCTGGGGGCTCAACAAAAGAAGATCTTTACCTCCTAAAATTAGTTTATAAAAACTTAAAGAGGTTTTTGCTCTTTCAAATTCACAGACACCAGTGCAAAACTATATTGTACCCATTGTCAATGCTTTTATCATAGCACTGAAAGTATGTGGCAAAAGAATTAGTTTAAAAAAAAAAAAAAAAAAGCAGCCACGCACGGTGGCTCACGCCTGTAATCCCAGCACTTTGGGAGGCCAAGACGGGTGGATCATGAGGTCAGGAGATCGAGACCATCCTGGCCAACATGGTGAAACCCCGTCTCTACTAAAAATACAAAAAAAAAAAAAAATTAGCTGGGCATGGTAGTGGGCACCTGTAGTCCCAGCTACTCGGGAGGCTGAGGCAGGAGAATGGTGTGAATCCAGGAGGCAGAGTTTGCAGTGAGCCGAGATAGCGCCACTGCACTCCAGTCTGGGCGACAGAGCAAGACTCTGTCTCAAAAATAAATAAATTAAAATAAAATAAAATAAAACAACATTGAAATTGAAGACAAGTAAAAAGTTGCTGTTTGCAGATCATATAATCTTACATATACAAAACCATAAACAGTATACATTAAAACCCGTCAAAACTGATAAATATACTTAGTAAATTACCAAAATATAAAATTAACATACAAGTAAAAATTATGGTTCCATCCACTCAAAACAAACTATCTGATAAAACAGAGGAAGAAAACAATGCTATTTACAATAGCATTAAAATAATATATTCTTGAGAACAAATTAAACCAAGGAGGTAAATAAAATTTACAATGAAAGAAATTAAAGACACAAATAAATTTTAAAATATTTTATGAATATGGATTGAAGCAGTAAATATTGATAAAGTACCATGTTTTCCAAAGTGATCTATAGATTCAATAAACTCCCTATTGAAAGTCCAGTGGCATTATTTTTACAGTAATGAAAAATATAATTCTAAAATTTACATGAAACTACAATAAGCTTTGAAGAGCCAAAGCAATTTTGTGAAAAAAAGAAAAAAGCAGAAGAACATCATAGTTTACAATTTCAAACTATATTTCAAGACTCTAGTAATAAAAACAGAATGGAATGTGCAGAAAAATGAACAAATAAATTTTTAAAAACCCAATGGAACAGAAACCACTACTCACACATTTCAGATAGGATGCAAAAAATAACTTAAAAAACAGTTTAACATAGAGGTTTTCAAAATTATGCAGATATATGTGTCCCCCAAAACAAAAGAGTCAGATTGTGCAGTCTCTTATATGCCATGAAAAGAACTTTGGCTCTCACTGTGAACTTGAAGGAAGATCACTGAAGGGAAAGCAGAATCCTTAGAGAATTTAAAACATAAGACAGAAGACGCCCCTATGTAAGAGCAAAAGAAAAAAAAAAACACTCAGGGTTTCCAGAAAGTATTTCCTTTGGAATACAGCTACCCAAATCACATGTTAAGGACTGGCTTTTTCTTTGACCTTTGACCTTTAATCTTTGTCATCTGTTGTATTCACTTTCACTCTCACCTACCTGGGGGTCTGGCTACCATCTCATGTCTTTTTATATTCCAGGGCTCTTTTTTTTGCTCCAGACAGGTGATCAGATATGGCTTAGAGACAGCAATACCTGTTTTATTAAAAATAAATAACATGAATCTTAATCATATTCTCCAATTACCAATCCAGTAAGGTGCTCAGTAAAGAGGATGTAATAGAATAAATACTAATTTATAACATAAATTTCTAAATATTTAGAAAATATTTTAAATGTGTAGGTTTTAAATTTTACTATCTGGTACTATTGAATCAAAAATTGGTGTCGGAAATTAGATTTAAAGGCATGGACAACAATATTGCATGCCACTAAATTTCTGGAATTATCACTAATCTAGAGTGAAAAATACAGATTAGCTCACTAATGTGAAAAGCTCAGGTCAAAATGAAACATCTTGAAGGAATTATTTTCTACACAAATCTCAAAGATTTTCTTGAAAACAGAGATCTGAAACTCATTTATGCAAAGCATAAATTACCAGAAAACAGTCTACAAAAATAGAGAAATAAAACTTTAAGGGTATTTTAGGAATTGTGTATTGAAGTTATCCTCACCCAAAAAGACCAGGTTTCTGTAGTTCTCTAACAACACATTCCTATATAAATCCCGCTGTGCAGTATCCAGGCATTGCCACTCCTCCAGAGAGAATTCTATGGCCACATCTTTAAATGTCAATGGCTCCTGAAAAACACAAACACACACACACTTACCAAGTGGTCATGAGCTGTCATTGAATTTTTTTTTAATGTATAGGATAGCCAGGTATAGTGGTTCATGCCTGTAATCCCAGCACTTTGGGAGGGCAAGGTGGGCAAATCACGAGGTCAAGAAATCGAGACCATCCTGGCCAACATGGTGAAACTCCGTCTCTACTGAAAATATAAAAATTAGGCCGAGCATGGTGGCTCACGCCTGTAATCCCAGCACTTTAGGAGGCAGAGGCAGATCACCAGAAATTGGGAGTTCAAGACCAGCTTGATCAACATGGAGAAACCCCGTCTCTACTAAAAATACAAAATTAGCAGGGTGCGGTGGCGCATGCCTGTAATCCCAGCTACTCGGGAGGCTGAGGCAGGAGAATTGCTTGAACCCAGGAGGCAGAGGTTGCAGTGAGCTGAGATCACTCCACTGCACTCCAGTCTGGCAACAGAGTGAGATGCTGTCTCAAAAAATAAAAAAATGTATAGAATAAAAAAAGTATGCTAAATACAGACAGATGAGAGGGCTACAGATAAGAACAGTTTAACATGGTTTAGAGAAATTTTCATTGTGTTTATATTTACTGTTTTGTGACTTGTAGGAAACTACTGGATCCGCAGGAATAGAAAACATGTTGCTAAATGGAATGTCTCTGCAAGCACTGGTTTTAATAAAAAATTTTAAAAATTAGGACTCTAAAATGCATACTTTTTTTTCCCATTTATCTCCTTGTGGAATTCGGAAATTGTTAGCACCCACTCTAGAAAGGCACCAGCCAAAACTCTGATCTCTTCTTATCAGTTCTGTGAGGCAAGACTCCAGGGTGGGGCCAGACCTAAATAAGGCCTCCAAAAAGGGTGAATCTGAACAGAACTGGAGCTGGGAGTAAACCCTATATATTACTTTGCTCACCCCATCAACTGTATAAATATACTAATTAGCCATTTAAACAAATCTCCTAGGGTTTTCTAGGGTAATTTTAAGATAAATACGCATTCTTAGCAAAGTAAAAGAAATAAAAATATTTAAAACTCTTGGGTCCATAAACATTCATTCAAATGATGACCTCAGAAGTCACAACAATATAAAGAAAGTGGCCCAAATAAAGCCCACACGTTTTTCCACACATCTATTCACTTTGCCAACCATATGATGCTTAATTCAACCATGTATTCACTTGCTAGTCTAGACTAACTGTTCCTAGATGGTAGGGACCATGACTGCTTTATCTATTTTTCTAATGGCCATATGAAATGGTAGCAATTAGTTTATCTGCTTGAGTCTCCAGACCTCCTCCTTGTTTTTTACCCAACTACCAGGAAACTGGAAAACTCTCAACTAGATACCAACCAAAGACATCTCTTGTATGAGGGGAGGAGCAAACACAGGATGACTCATTTCTCTTACACTGAGACAGAGGCACAATTAACCACTCTTGTCAACCTGACACAATTCTGCTCTGGACATCCTCAAATATCTCGAAGATGCCTAGGTGATTGTAAGAGAGTTCCCAGTGACCCTGGGCTGATGGCCCAAGGACAAGGCAGGCAGGAGAGACTCAGGCTGATTCTAAATAGAAAATCGAACTGCCGCAGTGGAGCTCCAGATTACGGGTCCTGATTAGCTAGCTCTTGGGCAAAAGGAAAGACAAAAATACTCTACTCCAGTATTACATTTTATGGGTAGGTATAATTGTGATCATGACTCTCAATACTTTGTGGCCTTCATCTCTCACCCCTAAGATGCTTGTTTACTCTTACAGAATCTGTCATCAGATTCTATTTACACCTGGACCCTCTCACATAACTGTAGCAAGTCACTGAACATGATCTGAAAAGTTTTAAGAGCAACACTCTCAAAGGGAAGCTTTAAGACGTCTATGTTGACATCTCACAATGCAGAAAATGCCTCCTGTTGGTTTCCTATACATTCTCAATCCAGAGTCTGGCCCTGTCTTGTAAATTCCAGGTAGAGGCCAGACCTTACAGATTCTAGGTGGGATCAGCCTGCTTCTGCATTCTTGGGTGTTACAGCAAGTAGAGTACAACCAAAGGAGAGATTGCCTCATAGAGGCTGCTCTACCACATTCTAAATAATACGTCTACTTGAAAGGAAAAAGCTTCATGAATATAAGTAGAGAGTTTATTTGGGCCAAGACTGGGAATTGTAACCTGGGATCAAAGATTCAAGTTGCCAGGAATCTACACTTTGATTAGCGCAGTTACAAGTGGATTTGTAAAGGCAAAAAGAGAGGGACAGAGAGTGGGCTGATACAAAGTTGCCTGTCAGAAACTCTCATTTGTTTACAAAAAAAAAACATTGATTATCCATTGGATATACATTGTTAAGCTATAGGGTGTGGGTTACAGGATCCAGTGTGTCATTATTAATTTAAATTTATAGCTACTTGTGGCAATAGCAAGCAGTTTCAAGAGATAAATTCATAGCTCAAAGAACAGAGAAATACATAATTGTGGTATTATTTTAATGTCTCTGAACCTTGTAACTAAAAGAATTTGCATTTCTCAAATAAAAGGTTTTCTTTTTTCCCAAATCTTAAATCCCTGATTCAGAATTTGGAGCTGTAAATTTAGTTCCTAGGTGGGTGCAGTAGCAGTAGGTGTCATCCACACATTTGTGGGTATTTTAAGAAGAGGAAGAAGGGGTTGGGTGTGGTGGCTCATACCTGTAACCCCAGCACTTTGGGAAGCCGAGGCAGGCCGATCACCTGAGGTCACGAGTTTGAGACCAGCCTGGCCAACATGGTGAAACCCCCCCCGCTTCCACTAAACATACAAAAATTAGCTGGACGTCTTGGTGCACGCTTGTAATCCCAGCTACTCAGGAGGCTGAGGCAGGAGAATCATTTGAATCCAGAAAGTGGAGGTTGCAGTGAGCTGAGATCATGCCATTGCACTCCAGCCTGGGCAACAGAGTGAGACTCCATCTCAAAAAAAAAGAAAAAAAAGAAAAAAAAGAAGAGGAGGAAGGGAAAAAAATGGAGATTATCATGTCTACTTAATGCACACACGTTACTCTGGGTTTCTGGGCCCCATGGTCTCTGAAATCAGCTTCTGGTCTAAAGATACAAGAGTCATTTAAAGAGGTAAAATGGTTAATCGCTGCCCTGTGAAGTATGTAGAAATCTGGCCTAGCCTCTCTAGAGGTGACTGTAGAGGACTATAACACCAAATAGGCAGAGACACAATTCTGCCTGCATATTTAGGGGACAGCATGCATTTTGCAGCACAATTGTGAGTTGACTGAAAGCCTGAAAGGAAAAGCCTCCTCTAGGTTAAAGCTTGGTTGGCACCTTATATGTTTATATGATGTGTGGCAATTCTAGACAGTGTTTGGAAAATATAACTAAAAGAAAACTTTTGTCCAGCTCCAGAGTAACTCCACAATGACAGAACAGAAAGAAAACCATTTTATTACACAATTAAACCAGAATGTGACATGTATCACAGTCAATCTGCTTAAGAGATTGCAAAGACAGAAAGACAGTCACAATAATTAGTCCACAAGTAGAAAAATTTACAGCACATGTCATACATAGTTCACCCTAAATTCACCTGGTAATTGGGAAGGCCATCCATATATGCTACTTGATTATAATCAATGACAAAATAAACTTTTCACATCTTCATGACAAGAGGTAATTCTGCAACTTAAAGCCAGGTGCCTCCTGCCTGCCATCTCCTGGTGGCTTGTGTCCTCTCTTGACTCCTACCATCTGCCACTGAGGCAGAGTCCATAGCACAGAGCTCACACCTGGCACCCTATATATAACCCCAACTGCCACAGCAGCACTTCAATGCCACATCAGAGAGTGAAGCCTGAGTTGCAGGAGGAAAGCCTGCAGGACTCCTGGGTAGAACTGCACCTTCACAATAATGGGAATAGGTGCAGTGTTTAAACCTCAGTTTTTTATTTATAATGGTGACATGGAAATCACTCTGCTAGATTTCCAGCAAGAGTCTATATAGAGATAGCTCCAAGAGTTCTCACTGTGACAGCCCACCTCATTCACAGACACCATGGGATAGTAATAGGGCTTCCAAAACAGACACCCAATGCATTCAAGAGAAAAACAGCTGAAAATGATTATATTGAGAGAAAAAAAAAAAGATAAAAGCATCTTTAGAAAAAAACTCAGATTAGATGATTGAACAAGTCAGTCAGAAAATATTCCCCTAAAACACATTTCTCTGTAAAAACCCAAAGTGTACAGCTACCCTCAGTATGAGAAACATGAGCATAAAGAATAAAGGCGGGCATATTCTCAGCAGAATTTTGTGTGTGTGTGTTACAGCATGGTCTGGATTGAAGACCCAAGCAGATTTTGTGTGAGCAACAAGGCTGTTTATTCACTTGGGTGCTAGTGGGCTGAGTCTGAAAAGGGAGTCAGCCCGGAGGCGTGACGGAGAGCAGTCTTTATAAGGCGAAGTGGCGGGTGGAAAATTACAACACAGTTTTGGGACTTGTTGACTCAAGAAGTTGATCGACCAGTTGGGACAGGAACCCGCTGTTCTTCTTTTGTGGTTTTTGGTTGTTGCAGGTTTTCTGGTTCCAGGAAGTCTGGAGGCATATGTGCCATTCACAGAGTTCTTAATGGCCCACTGTAATAATGGCCTGCTGGCAATAGTGCAGCTGTATTTTTGGGATATGACATTCCTGTCTTTTTGTTTTAATAAGAAAAGAAGTGGACGCAGAGATGTTTCTCAGGGATTCTTCAAGCGGGACTTGGGGTGGCATGGACTCCTAATCAGGAGAGAGATCTTGGGGTTGGGGTGACATTCAGGGGCAGTTAGGAGTAGCATTTGCCGCATAGATGGACTGGTAACAGCTTGAATGAGATTTTGTAGGAACTGAGAGGCTAGTCAGAAGAGACAGGGTCTGAACAGGAGAAGGAGAATGATGGAAATGAGGGGCCAAGCTTTAGGGAGAAGCCACAATGCCCAGCTCCAAAGATTGGTGTTAAGAGTCTGAAAGACGTTGCCTGATTTTAGAAGACTTTTCATTTAACCGCTGGGCAGCATCTCGTACTAGTCCAGATTGGTTGGTGTAAAAACAACAATCTTCCCCTAAAAAGGTGCACAGACCACCTTTTTCGGCGGTTAGGAGGTCTAAGCCACAGTGGTTCTGGAAAGTTACTGCTGCTAAGGAGTCTATTGGGGATTGGAGAGTAAGGGTGGATTTTACTATGTCTTGGAGGCTGAGAGATCCTTTGAGAGTGTACAATAGTAGGACAGGGAAGGGGACAAACCTGCTATTCCTGTTCCTGTGGCATTGGTAATTCCTAGTCCTATAAGCAAGGGTATTATCTGCATGGCCCTACACTGATGGACATGGGCTCTGACAGGGACTGGTAAGGTTTGGTTTCCAAGGGCAATGTCAATTTTGGGGCTTAAGAAGACTAGGGTACAGGTGCCTGTCCAGTTAGTGGGGAGGCAGACATAGGTTGAAGTTCCACACAAGAAGAATATGCCTTGGCTGGGTAGGCAGAACTGGCTGTGTATGTTAAAAAGGTGTGTGAATTTGTTGTTTTCATTTTCTCACACCCTTAGGGTACTTGCCAAGGTGGCCCCCGTGAGTGGCTGAAAAGGGATGTTTGGGATAAGCTGAGTGGCTCCCTGTTTTATTTTCCCATTGGAGGAAAAATCATTTTGTATCTACTAGAAGCCACTCAGAAGGGTAGCTGAAAGCAGGGAAAGGAGGCATTTGTCAGTGGTGGGAGTGCTGCTGCAGGGGGTCTAGGGGTGAATGGTCGGTCATGCAGTGTGTATGCCTGCCATTACAAAACCCGGATTGTTTGTTAAGCAGGGAGGTGCTGATGACTTCTGGGGGCTTTGAGAAGTGGACAGGCTGTTTGAATGTAGCCGTTTGGGAGACCTGGAAGTTAATGTAGTCAGTTGGGGCTTGAAGCTGCGAGGTGTAGTTGCACTGATGGAACAGGAGGTGACCTAGGGGTAGGCCTGATGATAGGTTGTGTTGGATGCATAAAGGGGCTTGGAAAGTTAAGACAGTGTAGTCACAGGGCCGTGTATGGGTTTTTCATTTCTTGTGTAATGGGTGAGGCTGGACATGTAGGAGCCTAAAAGTTGAACTGCATGTCCTGTCGGGGTATTTTCGGTCATTTCATTGATGGAGAAGTAGGCCAATGACTGCATATTTAGGAGTTGGAAAGGGCTTTTTCCTTCATAACGAGGGTGGTAGGTTAAGTTAGTAACTACCCAGTTTTTTGTGGGAATGGGAGTGGCAACGTAAGTGGTAGCTGATAGAGAAATGCAAAGCCAGCAGTCCTTTGCCAAAGAAGGATTGGACTGGTTTAACAGAAAGTGGGTTGAGAGTTTTGTAGAGGTAATTAGGCATTACTGGAAGTGGGCGTGCAGCCATGCGGGGTAGCCAAAGGAGTAGGAGGGATAGATAAAGTGAGTAGGAAGGTAAATAGAGGCGTCTCATCTGGGGAGAAGTCATACAGGGTGCCCTAAAAGATGAGATCATCTATCTGGTTTAAGAGAGAATCTAAGGTGGGAGTTTGGGGATGAAACCAGGACATGTCTTAGCAAATAGAGTGGAGGAAGAGGGTGAAGCAGCAGGGTGGACAGGAGCAGGACATTTAAGTTTCTTCAGGGATTCGGGTGAGTTTTAACGAGGTCGAGGAGAGTACTTGCAACTTCCAAGAGGAAGAAGAAGGGTCAGGCTGAGTGTCAGATGGACACAGCTTTACTCTGGAAGGATGAATCCACTGAGGAGGATCTTATAAGCGGACAGCTGTTGGGGTGCTATAAATGACCAGGAAGGGTCCTGTCCACCGAGGTTGTAGAGATCGGGGGGTTCAGCTCTTTATCAGGATGGGCTGTCTAGCCAGAGTGTCCTCATATGGCTGGGTATCTGGGGTGGGTTAGCACCTGACGGATTTCATTCCTAGCCTGTTGGAGGACTGGGTAAATAGTCCCCAAGAGGACTGGTGTCTGGGATGAGGTTGGGCCCGAGTAGAAAAGTACTACCATATAAGAGTTCGAATGGGCTATGCCCGGTAGGTTCATGGGCGGTGGCTCAGATCCGGAGGAGCACAAGTGGTAGGAGAACAGTCCAGTCCTTTCGGAGCTGGAGGGTGAGTTTTTAAGAGGCTGCTGGCTCTTTCAATCTTTCCTAAGGAATGAGGATGGTATGGGGTGTGGAGATTCCACTGGATGCCAAGGGCCTGGGAAACTGCCTGGGTGATTTGGCTAATGAAAGCTGGACCATTGTCAGACTGGATGGAAGTAGGGAGGCCGAAACAGAGAATAATATCTGTTAGAAGAGAAGTAATAACTGCTGCAGCCTTTTCAGATCCAGTAGGGAAAGCCATGACCCATCTGGCGAAGGTATCAACCCAAACTAGGAGGTACTTATATTTTTTGACATGAGGCATATGAGTGAAGTCAATTTGCCAATCTTGTGTAGTAGTAAACCCTCGGGCCCAATGTGTTGTGAAAGGAGGGGGCCTAAGAAAACCTTGGGGATTGGTGGAGTGGCCGATGGAACATTGAGAGGTGATTGCTTTAAGGATGGACTTCCATGATGAGAAATAAATAAGGGGCTCTAGGAGGTGAGCCAAAGGCTTGTACCCTACACGCAAGCAGTCATGGAGGGATGAGAGAATAGACTGCGCTTCTGAGGCAGAAGAAGGAACTTTCTGTGATCTAAGAACCACTTGCCTTGTGAGTTGGAAAGGACAAGTAGAGCAGGCTTTCAGAACAAGAGTAGGTAGGGATGATAGATGAGAAAGAAACGTACTGGCCTTTTGGAGCAGAGACTGGAACGTCTACAGACACTGAGGCGTTTGCCACCTCTTTTGCTGTTTTATTGGCGTGGGCATTTGCTTTAGCGACAGGGTCTGTCGGTTTTTGGTGTCCTCTGCAGTGGACACAACTCCAGCCTTGGCAGGCAGGAGAGCAGCCTTAAGGAGGAACTTTATGATAAAGGCATTGATAATGGAAGACCCTTGTGTGGTTAGAAAACCTCTTTCCGCCCAGATGGCAGCATTGTGATGAAGGATGTGGAAAGCATACTTGGAATCAGCATAAATATTGATGAGGGGACATTCGGTACCCTTTAGAGTCTAAATGCTGAAGGAGTAGGAGGATATTCTGTTGGGAGGATTCCTAGGAGGGAATGCAGAGAAGATCATCAACATATCAGATGAGGTAGGAAAAGGAAGGCTGAAAAGAGAGTAGGTTGCAGGCAAGGGCTTGGCTAAAATAATGAGGGTTATCCCGGAAGCCCTGGGAAGAATGGTCCAGCTTAGTTGTTGGGACTGATGGGTGTCAGGGTCAGTCCAGGTGAAGGCAAAAAGAGGTTGAGAGGAGGGGTGTAGGGGAATGGTGTAGAAGGCATCTTTTAGGTTGAGAACGGAATAATAGGTAGTGGAGGGAGGTACTTTGGACAAGAGAGCATATGAGTTTGACACTATAGGATGGATGGAAAGTACAATCTGACTGATGAGACAAAGGTCTCGAACTAATCTGTAGGACTTGTCTGGTTTTTGAAAGGGAAGGATGGCAGAGTTAACAGGTACTAAGATGCCACGTTGTAAAAAGCAGGTAAAAAGGCTTTAGGCCTTTTAGGGGTGGCATAGGGATAGGGTACTGGCATTGGGCAGGGTGAGAATGGTTTGGCTTCAAAGGGATGACGAGGCGGGAGTGATCTGTAGCAAGGGAGGGAGAGGTGATATCCCAGACCTTGGGGCTAAGGAAGGGAGACATTAGAGGAGTTTGTGGGGTTGGTGAGGGGTTGGGGAGAAGGCTGGCAAGGAGATGTGGCTGTAGCCCAGGAATAGTGAGGGAGGCAGACAGTTTTGTTAGGATGTCTCCGCTGAGCAGAGGGAATGGACAAGTGGGGATGACTAGGAAGGAGTGCAAAAAGGAGTGCTGACCTAGTTGACACCACACCAGTGGAATCTGGAGAGGTCTGGAGGCTTTGCCGTCAATTCCCACAACAGCAGTCATGGAGGCTAAGGAGACAGGTCCTTGAAAGGAGGGAAGGGTGGAGTGGGTGGCCCCCATATCAATCAAAAAGGGAACGGACTTACTCTCCACCTTAAGAGTTACCTGAGGTCCATGATGGTCCGGGGGCCTTTGAGGTGTTCGGGCAGTGTCATTCCTCAGCCACCAAGTCGATGACATCAGGGAAGGAGTCAGCCAGGGGGCTGTGGGGTTGAGCTCCAGGAGCTCTAGGGATGGCAGCTTGAGTTGGACAGTCTGACTTCCAGTGAGGGCCAGCACAAACAGGGCATGACTTAGGAGGTATCCCAGGCTGCAGGCATTCCTTGTCCCAGTGGTCATTTTTATGGCACTTGAAGCATGGCCCTGGAGGGGCTGCTGGGCGCTGCGATCTGGACGCCTTGAAATCCCTACAGGCCATTGGTGTGGCTGGGGTTCATCTAACAGCGGAGGCAAGCATCTGTAATTCAGAAATACGCTGCCACCGGATAGCCTCTTCCCTGTTACTGAACACCTTAAAGGCAAGGTTAATTAAATCCTGTTGTGGGATTTGAGGACCAGATTCTAATTTTTGAAGTTTTTTTTTAACATCGGGAGCTGACTGGGTAATAAAATGCACATTAAGAATAAGTTGGCCTTCTGGCCCTTCAGGGTCTAAAGCTGTATACCGTCTGAGAGTGGCAGTCAGACAGGCCATAAACTGGGCTGGATTTTCGTCCTTGCCCTGAGTGGTTTAACTTATCATAATGACTGCCTTATATGCAGCTTTTTGGAGTCCCTCTACTAAGCAAGTGATCATATAATCTCGCCTGGCCATACCAGGAGATCCTGTTTGATAGTTCCACTGGGGCTCTTCACGGGGGACCTCCCTGGCATCTTCCTGGAGACCTAGTTCAAGGCGCCAGTGGTCATCTGCATAGGACTGAGCTAGGGCCCAAACTTGCTCCCTTCGGGAGTGAGTGTAGAAGTGAGGATGACATTTAAGTCACTCCAGGTGAGGTTATAAGACTGAGTTAAATATTGAAATTCCTAGATATATTTAGTGGAGTCTGATGGAAAAGAACCTAAACACTGGCTGACCTGAGACAGGTCAGACAGGGAGAAAGAAACATGAACTCAGACTATTCCTTCAGCTCCAGCCACCTCTCAAAAGGGAAAGAGAGGGGTGGGAGGAGGGGGATTAGAAGTGGGACCAAATTGTAAGCCAGATTGGGTATGGGGCAGAGTGGGGACAGAAGGGATATAGGGAGGCGCAGTATGGGTAGAAGGGGGACTGGGGTCTGGAGAAGGGTTGGGACCAGAGTTGGACGGGCAGGAAGGAGAAATATCGGAAGGGTTTGTGGACAGGGAGGACTCGCTGTCGCCAGAGGGTGGTAGGGGAGCAGACAGGAAGGACAGAAGGAGAATTTGAGATGAATCACACTGGGAACAAGGGCTGGGGAGGGACAGAAGTGTAAAACATCCCTGGATGTATGGAACCTCAAACCATTTGCCCATTTTGTGACAAAAGTTGTCTAAGTCCTGCAAAATAGAGAAATTGAAAGTGCCGTTTTCCAGCCACTGAGAGCCACTGTCTAATTTATATTGGGGTCACGTCATATTACAGAAGAAAATGAGATGTTTAGGTTCCAGATCAGGTGAAAGACACAGGGGTTTTAGATTCTTAAGGACACAGGCCAAGGGAGGAGGAGGAGGAGGAATGGAGGGCGGAAGGTTGCCCATGATGGACAGTGGAGGACTAAAGAAACAGAGAGACAGAGAGAGAGAAATTAGGAGGACAGCAACCACAAGGACCTTCAGCAGGTGTCCCCAACTGGAGTCCTGAGTTGTGCAGTGGATGAGTGACCAAGATGCACGTCCCTGTGGTTGACCACTCACCTAGGGAAGACTATCTTCCCGGAGATAATCCATGACCAATGTTAGATTTAGGAAACACAGACAGCGAGTGTCCTCTGCTCTCTCTTTAAGAAAAGGAAAGTTTGAGAAAGGACGGAGGTCTCTTACCGATTCGAAGGCAGAGGCGGGGCTTTTACAGAGCCAGTCCAAGGTACCGAGGTCGCAACTGGGTCTCTTCAAGAAGTCGGGGGATGGGGTTAGGGGACACGACTCCCAAAGGAGTTCCCCTATCCCAGGTTTTGGCATCAAATGTGTGTTACAGTGCAGTCTGGATTGAAGAGACGACCCAAGCAGGCTTTATGTGAGCTCGCGCCCAAGTGAATAAACAGCCTAACTGCTCACACAAAGCCTGCCTGGGTCATCTCTTCAATCCAGACTACACCTTAACACAAAGTAAGGTTCCTCTTTCATTTCTGCTGCTCTCTTATCTTCTAGCCATTGAATGGGAGATCTATACTGGAATATGCCTGACAATTTCCACCAAAACATTTTGATGAACAATTGGAATAGGACTTTGTTAATATAGTGGAATATATTTGAGCTTGCATCATGGCTAACTGAAGAGCTATTACGGTTTTTGAGTGGCCACATCACCCTTGTTTATTTGTCTTGTAATAGCAGCATTCCAATTTAGTGAAACAAAAGATACTAAAATCATGCTTCCCTAATATTATCTCTACTGAATAAATTAGTAAGCATATCATACTAATATCCACTGTAATAATTTGGTAGTAAATTTTCTTTCATATTGGATAAAATATCCAAGCATAAATAATTTTAATGTACTAGTCATACTATACATAGGATTTTAAAATATTGTATGTAACCATAATTAAAACACTTTATATTTCAAAAGTATGAATAACAATATTAAAATGACTAAGGGATTCACTCAAAATAAATAAATTCATTTAAAATAAATAAATATTGAATATTTATTTTGAAATAGTCATTCAAAATAAATATTCAATATTAAAATGACTAAGGGATTCATTCAAAATAAATACTAGTGTAGAAAATACTGTTTAATTGATATGAATGCAGTTTGTCTACAAATGCTACACCTAACTTGGCTAATTGTTCTGAAGTAATAAATAGAAACCAAACAACAACTACATACTCCACTGTTCAGTTCATACACTGAACCTCGCTTTTGCAATGGAAGTATTTCAGTCTGCAAATAATAGATAATTACCTTGGATAATCTGTTTTCTGTCAAAGGAATTTACTCAGCATTTTTTAGTCTTCATCATTCTGTATTGCCAAATTTAATACTATCTTTGTGCTCAACTTTTGTGTGCTCTTAAAATGAGCTTTGATTTAAACAAATCTGTGTCTACTTTAAAAGATTAAAAATTTTACAAAAAATTGGCCAAAGCAAAAACAAAGCAATAAATCTGAGGTCTTAGAGACAATCCCAAATCAAGAACAATAACCAAAAATTTATTTAGCTATTAACATAATTTACGTATCTTTCAAAATAACAAAGACAAAAATCTACATATAATTTAAATCCTTTAAGAAAAAAGAGATTAGCAAAACATCCTCCGTTATTTTCACATAGGAGAATAAAGCCTCTTATTTTTAATTTTCTCCTACGACAGACAGGTCTCTGGACATGTTTTTGAATTCTTGGACAATTTTTTTTGTTTTTTTGGAGACGGAGTCTCGCTCTGTCGCCCAGGCTGGAGTGCGGTGGTGCGATCTCGGCTCACTGCAAGCTCCTCCTTCCAGGTTCACACCATTCTCCTGCCTCAGCCTCCCAAGCAGCTGGGACTACAGGTGCCCGCCACCACACCCAGCTAATTTCTTGTATTTTTAGTAGAGATGGGGTTTCACCGTGTTAGCCAGGACGGTCTCGATCTCCTGACCTCATGATCCACCTGCCTCAGCCTCCCAAAGTGCTTGGGATTACAGACATGAGCCACCGTGCCCAGCTAAACTCTTGGACATCGTAATTTTGCACACTGTATGCAACTGAAAGAATGTTAACAGAAAAAAAAAAAAAAAAAAACCGGACAGAGAAAGGTGTTATAAAAAATCCAGCGAGGTGCGGTTGCTCATGCCTGTAAAACCAGCACTTTGGGAGGCCAACGTGGGTGGATCACCTAAGGTCACAAGTTCGAGACCAGACTGACCAATACGGCAAAACCCCGTAAAAATACAAAAATTTGCCAGGCATGGTGATGCATGCCTGTAATCCCAGCTACTTGGGAGGCTGAGGCAGGTGAATGGCTTGAACCTGGCAGGCAGAGGTTGCAGTGAGCCAAAATCATGCCACTGCACTCCAGCCTGGGCAACAAAAGTGAAACTCCATCTCAAAAAAAAAAAAAAAAAAATCTATGGGTTTGTTAATCAAGAAAAATGACAAGAGAAATCTCAATCGTTTTAGGAGGTTTTTTTGCCAAAGTTAAGGATATGTGCCCTGGAGACAAGTCTATGTCTTTCTTCCAAGATGATTTTGAGGACTTCAAGTTTAAAGGGAAAAGGGTGGGATACTGGTAAGTACACAATTTTCATGTAAGAAGAGGATAGAAAAATACAGTCATTCATGCCTTTGTCTGGCTCAGTGAATCTGCATTTTTTTTTTTTTTTTAAACATCAGATGACATAGACAAATAGGGCAGAAGAAAAATGCAGGGAACCTGAATTTTTACATAAGATAACACAGACAAAATGGGGCAGAGGAACAGATAGGCATTTGAGTCTGATGGAAAGGGAAGTGACTGAACCTATAAACTATCAATTTACATTTCTACGATAAAATTTTAACAGAAACACCTTGGGGTAAAGATCTGCAGCTCACTAGGAATTTTATTGTGGACACATATCGGGGGAGGTATGCAGCTTTTCATCTTGTAGCCATCTTATTTAGGAACCAAAAGGGAAAGGCAGGTTTGTGTGACCCAGTTCTCAGATTAACTTTTCTGTTTGGCTTACTGAGTTTGGAGTCCCAGGATTTAATTTGCTTTCACATGTGCACATGAATAAAGCAATTTCTTAAAGATGTATAGAGAGACTTAAATTCTGACACAATAATAGTGGGAGACTGCAACACCCCACAGACACTAATAAATCATTGAGGCAGAAAATTAACAAAGATATCAGGACCTAAATGCAACACTTGACCAAATAGTCCTAATAGACATCTACGGAATTCTTCATCTACAAATAACATAATATACATTTTTCTCATCACCACATGGCACATACTCTAAAACTGACCAATTTTTAATCAGAATAAAACAATTCTCAGCAAATCCAAACATCCCATAATTATACCAACCACACACTCAGATCACAGCCTGATGAAAATACAATGGAATACAAAGAAAACCACTTGAAACCATACAATTACATACAAATTAAAAAACCTGGGCTGGGTATGGTGGCTCACGCCTGTAATCCAGCACTTTGGGAGGCAGAGGCAGGCAGATCACTTGAGGTCAGGAGTTTGAGACCAGCCTGACCAACATGGTGAAACCCCACCTCTATTAAAAACAAAAAAATTAGCCAGGCATGGTGGTGGGAGGCTGAGGCAGAGAATCATTTGAGCCTGGGAGGCAGAGGTTGCAGTGAGTCGAGATCATGCCACTGCACTCCAGCCTGGGTGACAGAGTGAGACTCTGTCTCA